ATTTCAGAGGACTGAAATAAAAGGTCTAGTAATTGATCATGCTAGTTGCGTCATTTTGTTCGCACCCAATTAAAATGTCAAACCAAAAAAAAGCACGTTGCAATAACAAAAAAAAATGACCTTTTTATAGCTGAAACATTAGGTCATCCTAAAGCCAACTCATCAATTTGAACATTTATCAAAGAACTGTAACTCTGAAAGCATTAAAAGAGCTATTGACTCCTTTGATATACTTTGAACTCATGTTTATAATTTGATTCAATTGCGAACAATATTTTACAAAATTGTTATTCTTTTTCCTCCTAAAACAAGAAAAAGGAGAAAAACATTTTCAAACAGGACAATCTCAAATATGAAAGGTCTGTAAAGTCAAAGCTTGAAATGGGGCATGGTCGATTCCAACGACAAGACCAGTAGAAAAAAATGAGGCTCCATCCAAGAGACAAAACGGAATTAATTCAGTTACATGCATATTAGACACACTTAAGAGCATCACATTTATCATTTTTAGCACACATATTTTTTTTTATAGCTTTTAGAGTCAAATTTCAACTTCAAGATGAAAGATAATCGATTCAAAAAGTGCATTCGGAAATTTATGGTGGTTGCTCAACTTCACAGCGAAGGGGCAACTGACGGTCAACAAACAACTTTTCAGTTTCATTCAGAGTCAATTTCAACTTCACAACGAATGATATTGGACTCGAGACAACACAATCTCAACTTCACAGTGAAGGGGCGATTGACTGTCAACAAATAACTTTTCAGTTTCATTCAGAGTCAATTTCAACTTCACAGCGAAGGATATTGGACTCGAGATAACACAAGCTCAACTTCAAAGCGAAGGGGCGACTGACTGTCAACAAATAACTTTTTAGTTTCATTCAGAGTCAATTTCAATTTCACAGCGAAGGATATTGGACTCGAGACAACACAAGCACAACTTCACAGCGAAGGGGCGACTGACTGTCAACAAACAACTTTTTAGTTTCATTCAGAGTCAATTCCAACTTCACAGTGAAGGATATTAGACTCGAGACAACACAAGCTCAACTTCACAGCGAAGGGGCGACTGACTATTAACAAACAACTTTTCAGTTTCATTCAGAGTCAATTTCAACTTCACAGTGAAAGATATTGGACTCGAGACAATACAAGCTCAACTTCACAACGAATGGGCGGCTGGCTGTCAACAAACAACTTTTCAGTTTCAGAGTCAATTTAAACTTCACGGCGAAGGATATTAGCCTTGAAACAACACAAATATTTGGATTTCAACTTCATGACGAAGGATATCCAATTCTAGGCTCAACTTCACAACGAAGGGGCCATCCACGGTTTCAACTTCACGATGAAGGGAATCATGCCCACCAAAGGCCTTCGAGTTCGACTACGCTCAACTCTAAGGCACATCATTTGCAGCATAACTTAAGTCAAGAAGGGTTATCTGCTAATCGAAGACCCTCGAGTTCGATTACACTCAGCTTCGAGGGCACATCATTTACAACATAACTCAAGGCTAGAAGGGTTATCTGTGACCAAAAGACCTTCGAGTTTGACTACACTCAACTCCAAGGCATATCATTTACAGCATAACTTAAGTTGAGAAGGGTTATCTGCCAACCAAAGACCTTCGAGTTCGACTACGCTCAGCTCCAAGGCACATCATTTGCAGCATAGCTTAAGTCGAGAAGGGCTATCTGGCAAAGACCCTCTAGTTCGATTACACTCAGCTTCGAGGGCACATCATTTACAACATAACTCAAGGCTAAAGGGTTATCTGTAACCAAAAGACCTTCGAGTTAGACTACGCTTAACTCAAGGCATATCATTTGCAGCATAACATAAGTCGAGAAGGGTTATCTGTCAACCAAAGACCTTTGAGTTCGACTACGCTCATCTCTAAGGCACATCATTTGCAGCATAGCTTAAGTCGAGAAGGGCTATCTTCCAAAGACCCTTAAGTTCGATTACACTCAGCTTCGAGGGCACATCATTTACAGCATAACTCAAGGCTAAAAGGGTTATCTGTGACCAAAAGACCTTTGAGTTCGACTACGCTTAACTCAAGGCATATCATTTGCAACATAACTTAAGTCGAGAAAGGTTATCTGCCAACCAAAGACCTTCGAGTTCGATTACGCTCGACTCCAAGGCACATCATTTTCAGCATAACTTAAGTTGAGAAGGGCTATCTGTCAAAGACCCTCGAGTTTGATTACACTCAGCTTCGAGGGCACATCATTTACAGCATAACTCAAGGCTAGAAGGGTTATCTGTGACCAAAAGACATTCGAGTTCGACTACACTCAGCTCCAAGGCATATCATTTGCAGCATAACTTAAGTCAAGAAGGGTTATCTACCAACCAAAGACCTTCGAGTTCGACTACGCTCAGATCCAAGGCACATCATTTGCAGCATAGCTTAAGGCAAGAAGAGTTATCTGCCAAAGACCTTAGAGTTTGATTCCATTCAGCTCGAGGGCGTATCAACCGCGTTGCATAAGCAAGGAACTACTTTTCGATCAAATTTTTACACCTAGGTCTCTAAATCGAGAAGAAGACCAATGTCGACCAAGATTAGCAACAAAGAGTCACTTTTCGATTCCCCACTATTTCAACTTCAAGAAGAAGGATATCGTGCCCAATGGATAGACTTAGTGTCACAACAAACACTATCAAGTCTCAAATCAAAGAGAACCAGACAAAAATGGGTTGTCTTTTTCATCTTTGCCCTATTCTTATTAACACAAAAATGTGCAAAGAGGGGCAGCTGTAGACACATGTTTTTGTCCGGGTCTACAAAAATATTTTATTATATTATATATATATTATTATTATTATATTTTTATTTTATTATTTTTGCAGGCCCCACACTCAACAACCTCGATTTAGTGAGATTCAGAAAATAAATCAACGTATTTGAGTCCTATTGAAACACTAAAACCAACGTATTTGAGTCCTATTAAAACACTAAAACCGAAGCATTTTGAGTCCAAGTAGGACTCTAAATCTGAGCTAAAAATAGGTTTCTTTAGACTATAAATAGACTCATGCATCAAGAGGAAAGGACACAGAGAAAAACGTGGAACCAAAATCAGAGGAATGGACAACGATTTGAAAAACTGAGGGAAGAAAATGAAAAAAATAAGCGTTGATGATCCAAAGCCAGTATCTAAAAGCACGAGGAGTGGCAGAGCATTTTCATTGCAAATCCAGTTTCTCTACACGCAAAACATAGAAGATGTAACAACTTTTAACTTATTCTTTTTATTTCATTTTTTATTTATTTACTTTATATATTTTTCATTTTCTCCTAATTTTAATATTTTATGTTCTTTTTACATTGTTTTATATATATATACATTTATTTTTTTCATTTTTTATTAATATTATTATATTAATATTTTTATTATTCTTTTCTCATGTTTATTTTCATTTTTACAATCCAACACTTTTGACTTTTTAGGGATACTTTCAATCGATCAAAATAATTGATTCGAATTGAATTTTTAAATTTTAATTTAAATTTTAATTTTTGCGATTAAGACAACCGATGAATTAATTGGTACCGAAAGGGCAGTTCAAGGGTGCTAATCCTTCCTTAACCGTAACCGACTCCCGAACCCGACACGTTTCTGGTACAACGCAGATCAAGTAAGATGGTGTCCGGCCTACCTAAATTCGTTTTAAATGGTCGGTGGCGACTCTAACCCAATTAATTCACATCGAAGCCCAATTCGGGGCCCAACTGAAAGACGGTTCCGACATCAACAATTCGTAATTTATTATAACCAATTCACAATTCATCACCTTCTAACCCTAACCCCTATCCTCCATTCGTGACATAAATTAAAAAAAAGGTTTTTTATAAATAAATTAAGTTTTTTTAAAAAATATTTTTATTCATAAAAATAAAAGAAATAAAAAATATAACGGCATACATCTAAAAATATAGATGAAAAAAATGTTAGACACCTATTTTAACGAAAAAAAATTTAGACACAAACGTTTTTCAAGTTATAATTTGAACTCGTATTTATGTATTAAGCCTTAGGTTGTGATTCTTTGAGGTATTTTTAATTGCATTTGCTGTCCATGTTGTTTGTTCAGCTTAAAATGTTATATAAATTTATAACATTTTTTGTTATAATTGAAGTGTTACATTACCGTAGTTTTAGATTTTACATTCGATAGTTTAAGAAAATAGAGTTTATATTCGGAAAAATTATATAAATTTATAACATTTTCGATTGTAAGTGAAAATGTTAGAAAGAGAAATAACATTTTGATAACATTTTCAATTACAATTGATTTATGACTTTCTTTTTAATCTTACATTAATAAATTGTATTTTAGATTCTTCCCGGATACTGGTGTCTGACATCCATGAACTATGCATATGTCATTCTCTGTACATGAAAAAGTGCAAGAAGCAAATATGCTTCATTTGAAGTCCAAGGTCCCAAAACTTGTTCTTCATGCTTCTTTCGTGACTGCTGTTTCATTCTTCAAATTATACTCGACACCTTTTTTAACAATATTGTAGGATTAGTTATGCTAAAGTATCTTTAGTTTATAAAGTTTCCCTAGTTATTACATGGCTTTACAACTAATTATTGATGAAAATGAAGCCATGGTCATGACTCGCGAGTAATGTAGAGCAAATAGTTTAAAACTTAAAAACACTAAAAATAATTCAAATTCTCAAACATCAATAACAAATACTCAAGTGTGAAGTGTCCAAGAAAACCATAATTTATAATTCCAAGCCCCCTTAAAACTAAAATAACATTGATATCTACCGATAACTAAACCTAAAATTCCAGTAAGATGAAGAATACCGGAATATGAGCATAAAACCTTACACTTAAATCCTCCATCCGTTTATTTTCTTATGAGATATTTGGATCTTCTTTGCATTTTTTTATAGGAGATGGATGAAATCAGGAGAAATCTGAGAGCTGAACAGGAAAATGCAAAGACTGCCTTGGATGTCGGCCATTCGAAAAATGCTGTGGTTGAATCCACAATAATTGTTGAAGATGAATCCACCGGAGTAGCTTCAAAAAAATCTGCCTTACTAGACAAGGTAGAGAAGAAGTCAAAAGAATTGGTCCTTTTTATCTCTCTTCTGATTTCATGTTATGCATTATATATATATATATATTCTTCTCTCAAAATTAGTCGACTTGCTGCTGCTGTGGCTTTTTATTTTGCTGATGAAATATCTTTATATTCTCAGAGCTCAATTGAAGAGTCAGTTAATGATTTAGAGAATAAATGGGAAAATATTCAGAATAAAGCATTGGAGCAGCCTTCTCCTCGTACCCACAGTATGCTGTCTTTTAGTGCTTGTTTTATGAGCTCACAGTCACTCGTTGACAAATATGGTCTTTCTTTTCTGTTATTATTTCCTTCCCCGCTTCCAATTGTTCTTAAAAGGATAAAGCTTTGATGTTCCTTGTGAAAATTAAAATCAGATCTTTGATTAGACATCTGAAGTAAGACAAAGAAAAAAAATGAAGTTGCAAAAATTGTTTTTCTGGTGTCCTTGTGTTCATGCAAGAAAAGTAAAAACTTAGAAAAAATTGAACATACGTTTCATATTCACAACTTCGAGTAACATAGGTTTTCATTAATCTATTCCTGTCATGCAGCACAAAGAGAGAAAGCACTGGACAAACAGCTTCACAGCCTAATTGAGCAACTACCTGCAAAACAAGTTAGTTAATTGATTTGTCCTATAAGTTTAAAGTGGACCGGACTATATGCATAAAATGTTACTCTGTCTGCTTATCTTTCTCTTTACTTGTTCTCCATTGAAGTTAAACTTCTCTATTGCCATTGCCCAAAAGAAAAGCTGTTTTAAATGGTGTTCTGATGTTAACTGAGGTGCTTTTCCTGTAATGTGTATTCTCCATCAAGTTAACATTTTCGTTTTTGTGGTAAGGATCTTCCTCGGACTTTTCTGCTGATTATCATCCCAAACTTTCTTATTCCACCAGCGGCCGGAATGAGAATCAACAGAGCCTCATGCTACGCAGGTCGGCTTTCGTGCTCTACATTTTAGCTTTACACATCTTGGTTTTCATCAGGATCTCGTTTTGAAGAACATCATCTGGAATACTCTAATTGTTATTGAAACGCATACAAAAAAAGGATGTATTCTTTTCGATTGTAATATAATACTGTATATAGATAGAACTCATTGTTGTACATTGCATGCTTTGACATACATCATTTCAAACAAAATCTCAAATCAAATATTTCAAACAATTTTGATCAAACATTTCTCATCAACTTTGCTTTTAACTTTGGAATGGCTTCCTTCTTCTTCATCAAATAAAACAGAAACTCATTCAATGTGTCAATTGGACCTGGCAAACACCAATGAACACAATCATACACTGTCTCATTCTTATGCAAGGAGTGTCCATATCCATTTGGATGTCCATCTGGTCTCTGCCACATGATTTCAGTGGCGTTTACCACTTCAAATCTTAACCCCATTTTCTTCCCTTCTTCCTCTGCTCTTCTCAGTTCCTTAACTTGAACCCAGTAAAACTCCTTGTTGAACTCTTGCAACTTCATTTCATTGCTTGTAAAAGGCCTCGTCCTACCGCAGTTTCCTCCTTTATCCCAATCTCCGTTCTCGAAATGTGACGCCAAAAACGTCCGTAAAATTGTGGTACCGGAGTAGTTTTTAAGGCTTAGAAGAGTTTTGAAAGCTGTTCTGAAGGCCATCTTGTATGCATAGTACTTGGAAATGCTTGTAACGTTCTGATTACAAATATGACATCCGATGAGCTGACTGCTCTCGTAGAATAACAGTGGCCGGAAGAACCATTGTCCGACTGAAATGATCACATAGTTGAATTTCTCGATCTCGTTTGTCCATGCTTCGTCGGCTTCATCGAGGTAAATGTTGATGAGACCATTGATGTCTGCAGCTCAGATTTAACCAGAAATGGTGACCAAAATGCTGCTAAGGTGAAGTTGTAATCGGCATAGAACCAACGCTGGAAGTAGTTTTTTTCTGCTGATTTGTTCTGAGTTATATCCTCTGGATCTGCTTCCTGAAATAAAACACATGCATACATCAAAGTTTCTCCATTTCTTTAAGAGCAAGAAATCAAAATCCGATTTCCAATTCTTAGTTAGAACCGGGGATTTAAATAACGGTCAATAGCAGCCGTTATATAAAGGTAAAAGTACCATTCGAAACCATTATTTCATAATTGTGATACTCATAATGATCGAAATAGCATCCGTTATTACTGCTACGATAAACATAAAGCAAATAAAAACGCGACTATTTATCTGGTTAGAACTTACATGAGCTAAGAGGCACACTGATAATTACATGAGTTATAAACAGTGATTTAAATAGAATTTCATTATCGGAATAGCTATTGTTATATAACGGGAAGGGTACAATTCAAAACCATCATTTTTATAATTAAAATATTCATAAAGACAGTAATAGTCCTGCTATTACCACAATCAGGATAAACGCAACCAAAAAAGCAATCACAACCGCAATTTAAATTCCTGGTTAGAACTCACATGAGCTAAGAGGCAGAGCAATGATTCCATCTGGTTCCTTCCTACTGAATCACCGACAAAAGCCATTGATTTCCCTTTAACAATCTCCAAGAACTGAGCTGCATCAAACAGAGGCAACTGGCACTCATCTGGTTTCCATCTCCACTTCATGAACTCTGTGTCTGGTCTCCCAAACTTCATGCAGTTCTGCTGGTCAATGATCATCCGACACGTTTCATTGCTGTAATAAGGAGGACCTTGTGGATAAGGCACCCATTTTCCCTTGAAAACATCACAACTCTTGTCTGAGCTTCTGGGGATACTGGGAAGAGGCAAATGCAAATGGGAACTTTTCAGAAAGCTTAAAGTGATTGAGCTGATGAGAATCAGTGAAAGAGTTAAGATGAAAATGTTGATGGAAACTGTTTTGTTGAGAGTTTTTTCCATTGGGAAATGAAATGAGATGGAAATTCATGGGGGAAGAAGCCTCTAAAAGCAAGATATTTCATTGAGTATACAATTGAACAATGACAGTTCATAAGCTACCTAATTGGTGATCATGGTTAAACGCAAATTTGTCAAATTATTATGATGAATTATCATTAAATGCTTATCACAGTGAAAAAATAATCATTAAGATGAGTAAGAAAGATTAGATTCAAATTTTAAGGACGAAATTAGTAAAAGGAATAATCATTAATTTAGACGAGTTTTAAAATAAATATAAATTAAATAAATTTATTTTATAATGTATTATCGTTTTATTTTTTATATATTTTTTATATATAAAAGAAAGACGGGTCTAATTAAAATCTCTCCTAATCAGCTATGAAGAGTTGAGCCTGTAAGGGAAAAAGAGTGCCTACTATATTAATAAGATAAACCGTATATCGTATGATACCTTATCAAAGATAATTTCGGGACAAATCGAGTCAAAACACAACGATTTCAAAAATTATAAAACCTATTTGACTAGTTTATCTGGTACAAATTAAAATGTAAGATATAGGATGAATTTGTAACACTAGTCAGATATCTTAATTTAATGCTTGTTGGTAGAGCGTAATATAGTTCAGATGTCGAGGGAATCAGCCTTATTCAATAAGTTACAAATAAAATAGTTTTTTTAGCACCATATATCCTTAAACTGTAATATTTATTTTAAATTAGCATATAAACATGTAAACATTTCAAATCCATCCAGATTATAACTCTAATTCTAAATTGATTTTTAAACTTTTGAATATTCCAAATTTTCCCCAAATTATGACTCTTATTTTGAATTGATTCCTAACTTCTGAACATTCCAATAGCATCCCCCAAAATCATTTAAAAGTTTAACAATAAAATTAGAATGTTCAAAAGCTTTAGGACCAATTTAGAATGTCCAAAAGTTTAGGGATTAATTTAGAATGAGTCATAGTTTAAGAATGAATTTGGAATATTCAAAAGTTTAGGCATCAATTTAAAATAATTATCATAGTCTGATTACGTATAATGTAATTAACTCTAAATAAAAATAAAAATCAGCCCAAACATCTTTTATCCATAATAATAATAATAATAATAATAATAATAATAATAATAATAATAATAATAATTATGTTATTATTATTATTATTATTAAGGGTAAAATATAAAAATAGTCTTCAAACTTTTAGGACGCTTGCATTTTGGTCACCCAACTTTTGAAAATTGCAATACAATCATCGTATTTTAATTCATTTTCAGTAAGTTCTCTAACGTTAACTCCCGTTAGTTTTATCTAAGTGGCACTTAACTCCTATTAAACCCCCTTTCTTGTTCTTCTCTTCTCAAACACATAAAAATAACTCCTATTCACCCCACCTCTGATCAGCAATGACTCACACCGCCATCATCAACGCCACCGACATCGCCTCTTGACCACACCTTGACCCTCGATTAATACCATCGTCCACCGTTCAAGAAGACTATTTGAACACTCATCCCCAAGCTTCGCCGTCAGTCATTGGTGACCGTCATCGTTGGTACCAATAGAAACACCGTCTTATTCTGATCTAACCCCGCTAGCCATTCGCCGACACTCACCTCCGTTTGTCGTGAAAAGGATCCCGAATCTCATAAAAAACCATTGATTACCATCCTACCTTCAAGAAATCAACTCCGAATTTCCACAAATTCCATAAGTATTTAAAAATAGAAACTTTAATTTGGTAACACTGAATATGCGATTAACACATACCAAGGATTAAAAATGTGAAACCTAAACTAAACATTTAGAGAGAAATGAATTAATCTAATTAATTAAAAAAATTTGGAAAATTCAACTCTTCTACTTTATTTTTTTTGGGTATATTGATTTTTTATGACATGTTAACATGAACACTAACATTTTTAGTGGATTTACAAACAAGGCAAGCATGAATCGTCGACCCACAACTAGTAAACAAGCACAAATGCCTGCACGGCAATAGCAGCACGCCCGATTTCTCTCTCCCGCAATTTCTACAGAAACGACCGGCACCATTGCTTTCACAATGACGATGGTGATGGCGGTGTGAGCCACCACTAGTAAGAGGTGGGGTAAACGGGAGTTATTTTTATGTGTGTGAGAAAAGAAGAAAAAGAAGAAAGGGGTTTAACGGGAATTAAGTGTCACACCAAATAAAAACGGAAGCTAACATCAGAGTTTTACTGAAAACGAACTGACAACTCGATGATTGTATTGTAAATTTCAAAAGTTGAATGACTAAAATACAAACTCCCCATAAATTTTAGGGATTATTTATATACTTTACCCTAATAATAATAATAACAACAACGATACAACCAACGATATATCACATCTTATCGAAAGCCTTGCCATTTTTATATCTAAATAGATGCTTGAACAACCACATATAATAATAATTATTATTATTTCTTATTTGTTTTCTATTATTTTATTTCACCCGACCAAATCTAATAAAGAGTTAAATAACTAAACCTTTCATGAGATAAATTAATAATGAAATTCAAGTTTATTTATCCATACAAATTAAAGAGAAGAAATAAATGTTAATTTAAGTTTTAACTTGAACTCATCAAATAGTTTCGGTGGTTTAAAAAGTATTATTCTCTTCAGAAGTATTAGATTCAAGCAGTTGTGTTTTGTTGTCTGCATATGTTGTCAATAATTAAAAAAATCCAGAACAAATATTATCTTATAATCACTCTAAATTATTCTAAAGAAAATCAACTAGAATTTCTATTAAAAGAAAATTTCAACAAGAATTTGAACCTATCAACTGACCTTAGTGATTAAATGGAGCGTTATTCTCCTTAGATTTCTTGGGTTCAATCAAGCAGCTCGTCGGTGCGTGTGTATTGTCAATGTATAAAAAAGATTCTAGACAAATATTACCTTATAAGTATCTTAGATAATTAAAAAAAATTGACTATAATTTATTGAAAAATAAATTTTGGTGCACATAATTTATAAGAACTCCTAGAATGATGAATTAGATGGAGCTAATGAAATAAAGAAAAAAACTCGTTCAATGTGTCAATGGGGCCAGGCAAACACCAATGATCACAATCATTTACGGCGGCATTCTTCATTATGAATTTCCCATAACGACTTGGATGCCCATCTGGTCTCAGCCACATGATTTCAGTACTGTTTATCACTTCAAATCTCAAACCTCTTTTCTTCCCCCTTTCCTTAGCTTTCCTCAGTTCCTCCACTTGAATCAAGTAAAAGGCCTTGTTCTACCACAGTTCCCTCCTTTATCCCATTCTCCGTTCTCGTAATGTGCCGCCGAAAACGTCCGCAAGAACATCGTGCTGGTGTAATTATTACGGCTTACGAGGGTTTCGAAGGCTGTTCTGTTTGCATGGTACATGGAAATGCTTGTAATGTTGTTTTGGTTACGGTTGTAGCATCCAACAAGTCGATCGTTCTGGTATAATAGCATCGGACCGAAGAACCATTGTACGGCCCATACGATTACATAATCCAATTTCTCGATCTCCTTCGACCATTCTTCATCAGCTTCATCGAGGTAAAGGGTAAAGATGCCATTTCTGGAATTGCCATTAATGTCTGCAACCCTGGATTTAACCAAAAAAGGCGACCAAATTGCTGATAAGGTGAAGTTGTAATCAGCATAGAGCCAACTCTTGGAATTGTGAGATTTATCCTCCGGATATGCTTACTGTAAGATATACATCAAAATTCATTACATGTCGCGATAAACGTAACGCAACCGAAAATACCCAAACTTACATGAGCTAAGAGGCAGAGTAATGATTCCATTTGGTTTCTTGCTACTGAATCCCCAACAAAAGCCATTGATTTTCCTCTCGCAATCTCCAAGAACTGAGCTGCGTCAAACAGAGGCAACTGGCACTCATCTGGTTTCCATCTCCATTTCATGAACTCTGTGTCTGGTCTACCAAACTTCATGCAGTTGTGCTGGTCAACGATCAGCCGACAAGTTTCGTTACTGTAATAAGGACCTTGTGGATAAGGCACCCATTTCCCCTTGAAGACATCACAGGTTTTGTCTGAAATTCTGGGGATACAGGAAATCGGTAAATGTGAATGGGAACTCCTAAGAAAGCTTAAAGTGATTGAGCTGATGAGAATCAGTGAAAGGGTGAAAATGAACACTTCAGTGAAAACTGTTTTGTCCGGACTTTTGTCCATTAGGAAACTGAAATGAGCTGGAAATTCACAATGAAAGAATCCCAATGTTTTTTATTTGTGTTTCTCCCTTTTGTTTCTTATCAAACCAACCTCACAAGATTGTAGTTTGTATGGTAATAGTTAACAAGTTTGAAGGACCAGTTTTTGCTCAAAGATATATTATTTGTACTTCTTCATAGTAAGAACTTAAAGGAGAAGAACAAATGTAATAGACTGGCTCAAGAATATAATCTCGAGAAAAAAAACTTTATGTAAATTTTAGGTTAAATTACACAAATGGTCCATCGACCATAAAATGTTGTTTTCTTGATTTTCTCGACTATTGAAAGTTACAAAATGATCTATATATAAAGTATTGTTTTGTTGAGTATTCGACTAAAAGTTATAAAATAGTCGTTCACTATTTATATGTTCTCAACTTGTCCATTTTTGTTAAAAATTTGTGGTCGTTTAAGATATACGTTAACCTGCTCACTGAGATATGGTAAAATCTTATCCCATAATTGTTTGAGTTGTATTTCATGGATCAATCTATCTTTAGATTATGTTGTCGAGTCAATGCTTGAATATAGTTTCATAGAAAATGGTTTTTTTAATTGTACTCGGAATTATTTAATTATAGAAATTTTAATATGATCTATTCTTTTAATTTTATCGGTCAGATCAGCTAACTATTTAAAATTTATTAAAACATTCATTTAGTGAATTCAAACTCACAAACACACCTCAAAGCACAAGATAAATCATAATTTAAATATTAAATTTTTTCCATCAAAAAGTTCTTTGAGAATAATTTCTCGTTCACCCACAACCGATTTTAATAATATTAGTGCTATATCTTAAATTATACATTTTTAAAATATACAGTCTAATTAAAAATAACTCAAATATAAATGATTCATATATTTATTTTTAGTAAAAAACTAAAATTTTTAATTAAATTGAAAAGATTCAATTCAATGATAATATGAAATTGTAAAAATAAAATATAAAATTATTAGATTTAATTTAAAAATATAAAATTTTGAACACATTTTTATTTTAAATCTTTCATTTAAAATATACTAGTTATGAGTTAATTGTTAAATTTATTTTGTGATTTATGTTTTTTTTTACTAAAAAAGTTTAGATCAAAGGTGGCTCTCCAGTCCAAGGTCAAGGCATACTTAAGGCACAATTGAGATTTATATAGAAATGTACAGATTACCCACCAAGAATGACAATAGTAGAATTCAAACTTGACCTTACGAACTCAAATTCATGAATTCCAACCACTTATACCATAACTCATCCGCAGTTTATGTGTTTCTATGCTACCTAAATAACACAAGTTAAAGTTTTCATCTGATCACTTCTATTTTCTTTTTAAAGTGAGATTTGATTAAGTGATTAGGGCACGCCCCATTTTCTTCAATTTTTCGATTTTATCCTTTCAAAACAATTTTGTTAAAGATCTCAAGTGTGGTGTATTAATTTCGATTAATTTTATGGTCATTAGTTAATTTATACATTTCATGATAAGTTTCGAATTTGAACAATTTCATTTGTAGTGTATAATTATGTTTATTATTAATTAATTAAAAAATTATGAATATATACTAACTTATAATCACTCAGATGAATCATAAAAGAGTGTCCGTTTGGTTTTAGTAAATATATGCTCTTTTCATTTTCATTTTCATAAAAAATAGAAAACGTCAAAGAAAACATATTTGATTGTAAAATTGGAAAATGAAAATAAAAATAAGTGAAAATATGAAAAATATAAAACAATTATTTTCAGTGTTTTCATTAAAATTGTTTTGGAAATTCAAAAAATAAAGAAACACTATATCTAGATTTTTAATTTAACTTACACAGGTTTAAATCATTCTAACAATAATTTTTTGATTTAATGGTATCTGAAACCCTCAAACTTTTATAAGAGAGTCAATATGGTCCCTAAACTTTTTTACACTCGGTGTAATCCTTAAATTAAATTTTTAATAATTTAATTTTTTGCTATTTTTATATTTAATTTATTGAATATCTTAATAATTTTCTATATTTTATATTTTAATTTTAAATAATTTGTTTTAAAAATTAATAAGTTCTCAAACTTTCTAAAATAATCAATTAAGTCCATCTACCACATTATCGTCCATCGAGTACTGTCAAAATAATATTGTGAACTGTCACATCAATATTGTAAATTGTCATATAAGTTTGTGAACTGTCATGTAAGCGTCATGACAATCAACATTTGATTCTGTTGTTCAAAAAGTTAGATTATTTTTTTAACTTTAACAATCACATTTGGTGCAAACAAATTCAGGGACTACACTATTTATTTTTCTCAAAAGTTTGAGAGTCTCATTTATCACCAAACATATATTTTATGTTAATGACACTTTTGTGTGTTATTACTTATAATAGTATTTTTGTGTATTTTTAAAATTTAATTAATGTCTAATATGCATTAACATTATATTCTTATTATAAACTAAAATAAATTTTGTGTTATGAAATTTCTTATCAACTTTATTGTTTTATATTTGTATAACTCATATGTTAAATTTGTGTAATGAATTTTAATAATTATAATCTAATTTAAGTATTTAATAACTATTATTTTTATTTCTATTAAAAAAAATAGATATCATATATATTTTTAGTATTTTAGTTTTGAATTCAAGTTTTCACTTATGTTAACCAAATAATTTTTTTAATTTTCAAAATTTTAAAAGTGAAAACTATTTTTTAAAAAATAAAAATATTTTCTAAAACCAAAATAACCCTAATCTTTTAAAACTAATATAGGTTCCGCAAGTTATGCGTGCACGTAATATTTGTTTTAGGGAAGGGTTACTTAGTATAGTTAAGAAAATATGCATTGCTTGTTAACCAAGATTCAATTATTATACAAAGTCATCCAATTCAAAGGCCCTTTTTACTTTTAAAAATCAATATTTTTTTAAGAATAAATAGAAAAAAGTCACAGTTTGAAATTATTTTTAAAATTAACATTATTTTAGCAAAGATACATACTTTTTTATTATTAAATTAAGGTGATTATAAAGATATGTGATATGAAAAACGTTTTTTCAACTATTGAAATAATTGAAATAAGTTGATTCGTGTCAAAGATACGCGAGGTTAGAAACATCTTTTTTACTTTTAGTATAAATTAAATTGAATTAACTCTTGTCAGACATCTTGATTAATTCAGCATCTCATGGTGGGGGGTATAGATGGAATCATCTTTATAAAGATAAAACAATGCAGGCCATACTTCTTTTTATCTCAAAAAATAATTTAAGATGAACAGAATACCAACGCAACATTACATCATATTATTTAGGGTAAATTACGTGTTTGATATTTAATTTATTAATTTTGATCCACTTTAGTACTTAAATTTTGATTTTTTTTTTCAAAATCATATATAAAGTTTAGTTTTTGTTTCATTTTAATATTATATTCAAAATTTAACGTTAATAGTAAGGTATCAAAATTAAAGTTTAGGTACTAAAACGTATCAAAATTGATAGTTTAGATACTAAACATGTTAAGTTTTTAATAGTAAGGTACTAAAATAAAAAAACTAAATATTAGGTATAATTTTAAAAAATTAAAAATTTAAGTATTAAAACGAGCCAAAAATGATAGTTTAGGCATAAAAGGTATAATTCACCCTATTATTTATCATTTTAGAGAATTATATCAATTACCATCTGATGATGAGACCCTTAACCCACCAAACTTTTCCAAAGCCTTGGAAATTATATATATAAATTTATGCTTGAACAAACCCATATTATCTTTTAATATTCTTTTCCATGATTTGTAGACTACGTATAATAATTTTATATCAAAATTCATTCTGGAACAACCCTATATTTTTAGTTAATATTCTTTTCTCGTTATTTGTATAGTGCCATATTATATACAGGTAACATCTATTAATTAAATATAAAAAATTTAACATTATATTTTAAAAAATAATAAAATTTTTAAAAATAGATGATTTAAATCGATAATAAAAATTATATATATATATATATATATATATATAAATAAAATTAATTATTTTTAATTTAAAAATTTTAATTTCAATAATTAAAATTAGTAAATCTAACCATCTAAAAAAACATATAAATTTTTTAAATGTTAGATAATATAAATTGATCTTTTACACACACATATATGTGTCATAATTTAGTAGGCCATGATCTATATATATATAATTTAGTAGGCCATGATCTTCATATATGACCAAAATCTCTTTTGGCTTTTTGTTCTTTAATAATTGATTTTCCTTTAATCATAAAAATAGTAAGAAAACTTTCTATAAAGTTCACAAATTGTAGAAATAATAAAATCAATTTTTTAAAATTAAAATATAAACAATGAAATCCGAATATTATAAATAAATATAACATTTGTAAATATAAGTAGAAATAAGAAATAAATGATCTCTTTAAGATTTATGCTGAGTTGGTGGATATTTTTATTCAAATTTAATTAAAAATTACATAAACTATCACTCAGATAAATAAAAAATTTCAATTTACAAAAAAACATTAATCATACTATTACGTGTCTGACTTGTAATTTATAAGTTTATAAGCTGGAAAATCAAAGTGTTGGTAATTTGATAAATATCAAAGTTTCAATTTGCTACTACTAAAGAAGTTCAAATTTACTATCACAAAAATAAATTCAAGTTGACAAGTGGTTATGATAGACATCAAATACTGGCAAGTTAATTCAAGTTGGTAAGTTGGCAAGTGACCAACTTTTGTACATGATAAAATTCATCTTTGGTCCTTAAACTATTAGGTTATTTGTAAGTTGGTCTTTAGAAATCAACTATAAATAGGCCTAGACACTTACATTTGAAATCATCTTTTCCATTTGTTTTTTCTCCATTCTTCCACTTCATAATACTTTGAGAATTCTAAGGAATTTCATTTGTTGTAATATTTTGTTAATTGTGAAGTTATCATCCATTGGTGGTACCCCAGGAGTAGATGATATTTCATTGAAC